TAGTTGCACAGTTCGTACTTCTCGAGGGCGCCCACAGTCAACCGTTTGTTTCTTAAATGAACCATTTTCGCGCAAACGTTGATGAAGACGAGCAAATATTGTGTGATGAGGTACCCTACGTCCTGGATACAACTCAGCATACAATCGTCGAGCTTGCCGACCATTTCCATTACTTCGACCATAGACAAAATGCATGTCTGACAATTCCGCATTTGTAAAATTTTCCATTCTTTTCGATAAAAGAAAAATTAATTACTTATTAACACTAATGTTATAGCAAACTAAAAGCTTAATAAATTAATAATGACGAAACGCTAATTTGTCATTTCTTAAAAATATTCGTATCTAACAGACAAATGTTGACAGTAGCCTACTAGGTAATGTATTAAAGAAATAAAAAAATACGCGTTAAAATGTTTTATATTTTTGCATCAAAACGGCGCCCCCATACAAAGAAAAGGCAAGAGAGATTTTTTGTCACAAATTAAACGAGGAATTCAAAAATGATTTTTAATTTGTAATATCTCAGTGGCGTACCATTTTTTTCTTTAAAAAAATTGAGATTATTACCCGTACGCGCGCCAATGATGAACATAAAATTCTTAATTGCGTGCAAAAAAAATGCGCAATAACTACCTCTTAAAACCCACTAAATTTCATTTGCACATCTCGACCGGTTTCAGAGCAATAAATTAAATCGTCAGTTTTTAAGAAAAACTTTGACACCCCGAATCTCGGAAAATGAATCATTTGCGGACATACGTTTATAAGCAAACTGCCATTATTTTCTCAAGTAGAATCACCCCCTGAAATTTGTCGCACTTATTTACTAACACCCTGTATATACATTGTTAAATTATGCAAAATATAGTACATTCCTGTTTGTACATTACACAGTACATATTATTTTACTTATCTCGTAATGGATTATTATATTATCTAAGCAATGTATGTTTATTGTATGAATCACGATCGGCAATGTTATTTAATGGAGTTGATGTTGTGGGAATAAAAATACTCTTGCTTAATGTACAGAACAATTAATTGATAATATTGCTTACATTTTTTTGTTGTTGCAGGACCTTAGTGGAGGAAATAGTAACGATAGTTCTGGAGGCCCTGCACCAGGTACTCCTAATTCACAGGGAATGAGGCCGACGCCTTCTCCTACAGGGTCCACTGGTTCCAGATCAATGTCACCTGCTGTAGGTTAGTATTAAAACCCAAATAAACAACGAAGTGCAATTTGAATTATATGACATTACAATGGGTTAGAACATAAGTATAAGTATTTACTGCTTCTTTGTACCAGATATTCTTATTTTTGGAAAACTGTAATTATAACGGTTCTTTTAGTTACGATATTACTTCCGTTTTTAAATCATGTTTCTGACCTGTCAGTTTTAGTTTATTTAACCGCCTCAATTACGGAACATAAAGAAAACTTTGTGTACTTTCTAATGCAACCATTTTTTTATATTTTATACAGAGCGTCACAAAACGATGAGCATAAAAATTGCCCGTAAAATTAAGGCCCTATGACATTTTTAAAAACTTGAGCGATATGGCGGTTGTTGGCACTCATAGACCCGTGCTATAAAAATAAGACCTTATATTTGAAGATCTATGGTTGCACACAAGTGTTTTTTTTTTAAGTTGGAAACTATCAATTTTAACTCCTCACACATTCAGTGACAGACAATTGAAACAAGGGCATGTGAGTGTTAACCACTTAATTGTGCACTGCCTTGGAAGGAAATAACTAATACATTTGAAGCTAACTGAATGTTCAGGGGCGAAGGCTATAAAAATAAAGAAGTAAGCCTATGTGAATATTGTGAATCGCTATTGCAGTAAATTGGATATTGTACATATTAAATGATACGTATATTTCACAAATCTAGAAGAAAAACGCTCGCACTAACTATATATTGGACAAGAATGACAGATGGCAAGCACCAACAACCGCCATATTGTTTAGCACTTGGGTTGAGAAGTTAAATTAATTAACCAGTTTATTATTAAATTTTGCCAATAACATTTTTTGAGTTAAGCGATTTTTTTTATATTCGGTACGGTTATGGATAACAAATATATGAATTAATTAGAAAATTGTGCTGTTTTTTGAAAAAATTATTAACAGTATTAAAAACCATTACACAATCTTACAACGTCGGCCTCCTAAATAGAGTGTGGACCAAACTGAAAATTCTGGACTTATTTGATAATTTTAAAATCTGAACAAATTTTCATGGAATTTTGTAAAATTTTGTTTGTAGTCGGTCTTTATTTACAAGAAGCTGAATATTAAATTCACTGCTATTACCATTTACACTGTAAATATGTACGACCTATCATATGTCTGTCATTAAGAATTAAGTTTATGCTATTAATATTCACATTTAATGAACCAAAATCAGTTATCACTCTACAATAGAGATCTTGGAAGCTATACAGGGTGGGCCAAAAGTACCGGAATAGCAGGATATCTGCGAATATTCAAGGGGTAGGGTGAAAGTAATGCACTAAGGGTTTAGAATTTTTCCCTGGCTATCCGATGGTGACCTTGAATTTGACCTGGCGGATAATTTTGCCATCCCGGTACTGTTGAGCCGAACGTAAAATTTTCCGCTCTCCATTTCTGGGGTCAAAATTCTCGTGACCTTGATATGACCTTGAAGGTCATGGTCCAGGTCACATTCAAGATCACCATCGGATAACCAGGGAAAAATCCTAAACCACTAAGTGCTTTACTTCTACCCTACCCCTTAAATATTTCCAGATATCCTGCTATTCCGGTACTTTTGGCCCACCCTGCTTATATACAAGCGTACATGGACAGTAGTATGTTTTAACGCTTATCAACTAACAAAACAATTCAATTCCCATTTGGATGTTAATCAGAACAAATTGTAAATCTTTTTGAAAACCAGCTGTAATCCATACGAAAATATTAAAATATTTTTTGCGAAAATAGGGTTAAAAAATCGTCGGTGAAAAGAACGCAAAAAATTAAATCAGAATGGTTAAAACATCTTTCGGTCGCACTACAAAACTACACTACAAAGTTGTAGTTAAAGAAACCCCCACAAAATCAATGGAAAATGGGTCCCAGTCGATTTTGCTGAAATTGCAGTATGTTATAGTTTTTGACTTAATGATCAAAAATTATCATGGGCCCAAAGTGGTCCTATGAATAGTTCAGAGATAGAGAGGGGAGAAGTATGTGATTTTGGCTGTAGTCCTGAGTAAGCTTCACGAAGTTTCAAGTTAATGGATTTAAAAACTGAGGCATGTAATGAATTTTGATCAGTAGTTACAATTCTTTTGGGATCACTGAACCTGAAATAACTAGCCCTATAAGGTCACCTGCGGGGCTTCAATTGAGATTAAGTTAAATGAAATGACCTTAACTTGATTTTCAGGTGACCTTGCAGAGTTAAGTTATACCTGAATTCAGTTCCCCTCCAAAATAAAAATTGACTTGAAGGTATCCTTTAAGGTTACACTATCTCCAGATTCAGATTTTGCGAGTCCAAAAACCTACACTCACTGGTCAAAATTCAATACAAGTTTTTTCTTCAGATTAACCTTGAAACGACCTTTACCTAACCTCCAGGTGACCTTAGATAGCTAAGCTATCCCCGAATTCAGGTTCAGCGATCCCAAAAGCATTGTACCTACCGGTCAAAATTCATTACATGCTTCAATTTTTGAATCCATTAACTTGAAACTTCGGGAAGCTTACTCAGGCTTACAGCCAAAATCACATACTTATCCCCTCTTTATATCTGAAACTATTCATATGATCACTTTGGGCCCATGACAACTTTTGTTAAGAAATTCAAAAACTATAACATACTGCAATTTCAGCAAAATCGACTGGGACCCATTTTTCATTGATTTTGTGCGAGGTTCTTTTAAAAAGAACTATTTTTACTTTCTTTTAATAACATTGAAATGAAGATGAATTCTTTGTTTTTCAGTGGGATGTTGCTAACTCTTCACTATTTTGTTCATATAAAAGCTTTTCACAAGACAAAATATCAGTGAATGAAAGAATATTATTAAATGTTCAATTTGGTTTCCCTCCGCCTTCATACAATAATAAAATCTTTGCTCCACTTCCGAACGAACATTTTGAAGAATTTCGGGCGTTTCAGCAGGATGGTGTTCCACAACATTATGTCGCAGCTGTGCGTGATTTTCTTAATCAGAACTTTCAAATCATTGAATAGGACGCAGTTGTTCAATTGAGTGGCCTTCCAGATCGCCAGATCTAACGCCCTTAGACTTCTTTCTACGGGGGCACTTAAAGTCGAAAATTTATGCAACACAGTCGAACTCACTTGAGGCGTTTTGTCGGCGAATTGTTGAAAAATGTCGTCAGATAACGCTCGAAATTTTCGGAAATGAAGCAAATATTTTATTATTGCATGGAAGCGGAGGGAAACCAATTTGAACATTTAATAAAATAACATTCTTTCATTCAATGATATTTTGTCTTATTCTTTAAGTGATTATTTTATTGTCATATTCAAATCAAAATTTAAAATTTCGTTTGTCGTCATGAAAAACTCAACATAAGGTTCCATTTAAAGTTTAAGGGAATTTTACGCCCCTACTTAAGTGGTAGCTTCCAAGACACCAAAACTTAGCCATCACGTGCCCCCTTGAAAAGAAAATCGACGTGTTTCAAATTTTTATTATTTTTTTTTAATTACGCTGTTTTCCAGGTGGGAAGTTTTAATTGAAACAACTTGTATAATGAAAATTATCTCGAACGATTAAGCAATGTTTTAGGAAATTTTGACGAATATATTACCCTGATAGAATATTATACCGATTCGACCAGAATTTAACTGCTAATGAATGCACATTGTTTCTTACTTATTAATATTTTACTAGACCGAGATCATCAGACCGAGAACGAACCGTGATCGACATTATAGTGTGAATTGACCCTAAATATTTTAAATGTCACTTATATTCCACATAGCACACACATAGCACGTTCACATAGCACGTAAAATATAAAATACATATAAATAAAACAAAAAAATAGTTGCAAATGGAAAATGCTCTACAAACGAGACTGTTGAATATCTTAATACAAAATATTTTTGTTTCTTTTTCCATTCCTAATATTATCTGGCCCAAGAATTCCTTTTATCTTATATCCAGGGTGTTCCAGAATAACGTGTACAACGGAAGACTACACTCAAAATAGGCAGATCTAGGCTAATTCACCTAAATCTGAAATAACTCGAATAGGTATTAATCTATTTTGATTATTTTTGGGGTGTGGACTTTTGCTTTTAATCTACACATTTTGGTGTTATACAGAGTGTTTTTTAAAACCTACAACACCTACAAAATTGATGTATGGTCATAATATCCGTTCATAATTTTTTCCTCTTTCGGGCAATAATGACAACTATTTTTTACCTGATAGGTGGTTCCATTTGGAAGTTTTTGGGCCTCTTGTAGAATTTTAATTAAATAAGCCGTTTGGGTAAAAAAAAATATTTTTTAAATGTCTGCATTATCCTGCCACCCATATTACAATACTTAACAAAGTGCTAGTAGGCACTGATTTTGTAGGTGTGCCAGACAATTATTAGTGAGTGTTTACGACGATAAGATATACCACATGTTACAACGTGCCTAATCTTATTCAAAAAATTAGAAAAAACAATCAAATACAACGCGTTGACAGCATTATTATTGACCCTGTTATTCTACCCAATAGACTGAATGGCGAATTTTGTTTAGAATTTTTGCAAAACCCTTTACCCGAGTTATTGGAAGGTGTGCCGTTATTGCTCGGAGCTATAATGCGGTTTATACATGATGGAGCTCCACCACATTTCACTGTCAATGTCCGGTTGTATCAAAGATTCCCTCGTCGATGGATTGGTAGAGGGGATAATGTTCCTGTTAACTGACCTGTTTGTTCACCAGACTTTTCACCTTGCGACTATTATATTTGGGGTACTTTGAAAACAACAGTGTATGCTTCCACATCTAACACTGATCCAAATTGCCATAAATGTTTTAAAAAATTGCCCTCAAGAACTGCAAAGGGTGTCCTTTAACTTTCTTCGCACAGTTTTTATAAGAAGTAGTACTAAATCTAATAACATCAACTTTGTTATTCCTATCTCCAGCATTTTTCATTGTATTTGATTGTTTTTACTAATTAATCT